CTTGGCTTGTCTTTACCTTCCTTATTTGACCTCTATCTAGGACTCTTTAAATTTAATATTTAAAAGTATGTGATCACTGAAATCGTTTGTCGCTATTTTCCTATGATGAACCATATTTTTTTGTATCCTAGAAAATTTTCTTAACTGGGATATAACGGGAGCATCTTCTAACGTAGAGGCCTTTTTGTAAAGGAGATGGAACTCAAAATAATTGCTTAGGGCCTTTGTTTCGTTCAACTGCTTAAATTTATCCATCAGATTCTTGGACTGATCGACCCTTGCTGATAAGGCACTTGAATAATTTGTAGAGGCGACTTTGATTTATTTTGCAAATATATATCTTATTTCTATTATCTTATCAATTGTACTATATTTGGTACTCTTGGCAGCAATTCTAGAGGCTTTTTTATGTGCATAAACTTTTCTTAATTCAGATGAATTTTTAATATTTGTTACTGCCTGCTAATATTTAATTTAATTTAATTTTGCTCTGTTATTATCTTCTTGCCATAACATTTCACTACTTCGCGCGCTTATTTTTCGCACTTACCCTTAATTCATACGCATACATCTTATATATGTATAAACCTACACTCCTTTGTGAATATTCACACAAATTAATATACAATTACATCAACTCATACACGCAATATGTGACTTCAGCCTCGAACCTCATGTCCTCTCCGGCGTCTTCTCGCGGCCTGGTCAAGATCGTTCTTGTTCTGATGGAAAGTCTCTCAGGTAGTGGACACTGCATTCATGGCTTCCGCTGTAAAACCCAAACAACTCCAAAAGAGGTTATCGCATTCGATCCCCTTATTCAACAGAATGTGATTTATCGAGAGAAGAAGAAGATCAAGACTCTCCATAAAACGCACTAGACTTCCATTTCGCATCCCCTAAATCTTTTTGACTTCTCTTTATTCGTTTCACTATGCTCCCCCGCTTGCTTTACAATGCTCGATTATTTTCTTGTCTACTTACACTCTCAATTACTTTCATTGTCTATATACGGTGTACCTTACGTCTATGGGTCTGCAAATG